AACCGACTATAGACGGCGGTCGGTTGATTGTCCATCCATCTCTGTACTTAGAGGTTCTCACGGGAAATCTCATTTTCCCTCCACCTCCTGGGAACCTCAGTGACAAACAAGTATCCACATGAGCACAAGGGTTCAAGGGGACGACGAAAGAGGCGCAGGACTACGCTCGTCCACGTCCTGGCAGGCGCTTTCTCCTAGTACCCAGCAAAGTGCCCGCCTTCCCACGCCTGCGTTTACCCTGAGCTGCTGCCACCCGCGCCCAATTCCTGTATGGTTAGAAGGGAGACACCTCCCCCCAAAAAGGACAGTTTATTCACCAAAAGAGCACAGACTTTCAAATTAGATAAATTAGATTCCAATGAAACTGACACAGTTACCAGCTTGGGCAGGTTACTTAACATAGTATGAAGATCATAATTGTGTAAAAAGGAGGTCATTATACCTACACAGAGGGGTGTTAGGAGGATTGAGAGTCTGTTTACATAAAGATATGAATCCTATGTTTGAAACGGTTTGTTTCTCCCTCTCTCTGTCTCTCTCTCTCTGTCTCTGTCTCTCTCTATATATATACACACACACATACATATACATAATCTCCCTTCTTATTTTCTCCTTTCTCCTAAATTCAGTCCACCCTCAACTCAAGTCTCTGAATCCCACTCAAGTCGCTATTTGACCATAAATCAGTGAAACTTGAGGTTAAGACTCTGTCAGTGGTCACCCAGTCAGCTTCACTCAAATACCAAGAGTTTGCTTCCACGAACCCTCCGCTCAGAGTCAGGAACGTGGAGTCCTTTTCCTCAAATGCTGAGACTACAGACCACGGCTGCCCTACACTTCCCCGACCCAGGATCCCATAGTATTTAGTCCAGACAAGGTCTGGGGGACCCTAAAATGACAAATTCTGCTGTGTCTTCTTTGGAGAAATTCGTATCTTTAAAAAAACTGCCCATGTCCACTCTGACCTGGCACTTGTAGTAGGTACACACTTTGTCTCCTCCTCCCGGTCATAACATCCCCAGACTTAAGCCTGTGGGATGGGGTTCGTCCTCATCTTGTCATTAGAAGGTGGACGTGACAATGTAACATAGCTCTCCCTCCATCTTCCCCAGAGAGAGGAAATGTGTGATGAAAGAACATATTCTGAGATCACACCCCAGCCCAAAGGCCCCTCAGAGCCTGGTCCCCAGAGTGGTGGCTCCGGGGAGCAGCTGCCCTGCACTTACGTGGAGAGTCTCTGCCCTCAGCCACTGGGGCGCTCAGCACCACCATCACCACCACAGCTGCTGCCCAAAGGCCTCTGGGCATCCGCAGAGCCACCTTCCCAGACATAATTGAGAACAGAGGAAGAAGCAATGGTAGTCGACACAGCTCGCACCCAGTGGATCTGGTGTACCCACTTCAGAGAATAAAAATCTATGAAAGCTTCCACGCACAGCAAGATTGGGGAGTTCTAGGAAAGGAGCCAATCAACACTGGAGCTGAAGTGCCTCATCTGTCTCTGGGCAGGCATTTATCTATGACGGTTCTCAATCTAATGCCTGGTACTGTGTATTCATTGAATGACACTGGATGAACATTTAACATGAAGACTTTCTCTCAGTTATAAAAGATCTGAAGATTGAATGACTTAGGAGTTTAAAGAAGGAAAAGAAAAAAATGATTCAAGAGTGGACATCTCTGTGATATTTATTTAAAACCTATTTTTCTTGAGATTTTTTGTAGAGAAAAATAAGTGGGGATTATATTTCAGGGAGAGAAAATTATTGTCACAGAGATGTTCACTTCTATTATCTTAGACACATTCAGAGTCTTGAGCTTGTGAGAAGATCAGAGTTCTTGAAGGACATGGTTTTGAGCTGGTTCTACCACTGAAGTGCTTTATGAGAGTCAACAAAATACTAAGCCTTTTTGCCTCAGACTTCTCTTTGTAAAATGTGAATCATGTTTCATGCATTTTATATCTAGGCTTCATATGTTCAAACTAAAGAGTTATATGACCTGTTTAATATTGCAAAATGTTCCTCGGCTGCCATGTGTAACTACTGACAGTATCAGGTCAATATGTGGAGCAAGAAAACAAGCAAACAAACAACATTTGACAACCAGTCCTCCTGGCAAGTGATTCCTCATTACACTAAAATCTATTGCATTTACGCTCTTTGAATGAAAGTTTTTGGAGCGTTAAGTTGATTTTTCGCTTTAAAAAATCTCTTCAGCTGCTTAAATCTTCCCTGAAACATCTGATGTCAGCAAAGGCACAATCCACAAACATGAACAGCCCTTAGACACAGTCACCTTTAGTTTAGTTAGACACAGAGCAAAAGATGTGGAGAAGCATTTCCTAGGGCTTAGCTAGTGTTAATCAGGGAGCAGATGCTTAAGTTACAGACTGCACTGTGCCAGCCCTAAGCATCAAACCCCCAGTGGCAGAAGTATCGACGTGTTATTTTAAATAAATGTACTATTCATCAGACTCCTCTTGCCCATGACTAGGGGCGGTGTGAAATAGTTGTAGAGCAATTAAAACAGTGCCCGGCAAACATTAATAAACACGACAATAAGTATCCCTCCCTCTAATCTCTCCATCCTTCTCTCTCTTTCCTGAATTTTAGGTTCTTCTTTCAAAATAGAGGACAGGCTCTAAAAGCAGAACATAAGGAGTTGACCAGGTAAAAAGAAATCAGAAAGAGGCAACAACAAAAAGTTTCCGTTAGCAGCACATGAAGGTGGTGAGTTTTTTCAATATTCTGAATTAGGTGCATAGTCCCAGAGCACCTGAGACTGGGAAATCCATCACTGGGCTTCCACCAACAGTGGAGTACTCAGGACAGGGATCACTCCAGAGTAAGGAGGGTTTCCACGGCGGGATGGAAGCATAGAGGAACATCAAACTCAGACCTGGAATAGGGTGGGGGAGGGACGACAAAGAATGGTCAGGGAGGGACTTTGAAGGTGACTCAGATCCCTCACACCCCACCTCAGGATCCCTTGAAATAAAGAAGATTCTGGTCCATCCCCTCCCTCCTGTCTTAAGGGGGGAGTCCCCTGCATTCTGTTCTGGGGCTGTGCCCTGAAGTCTGCATCAGACCTGTGGGATTGTCCAGGTCTCACAAGCCTCTTCACACAGACTTTTCACCTAGCAACAAGAGTGTCAGCTTAAAATCCTTTTTCTGATTGGCTAAAACCTCATTTTCATGGCTCTGGTTTGG